TTAATATCTACAATATTTAATCTTTCTTACCAAGCTTATGAGATTTGATTTACTTAATTAATTACTAGTGGATTCGGAGTTAGGCTAAAAGTCGCACTTCCAAATTTCGGATTTACCTCATATATATATATATCTTCCTTTCTTTTTACAATTTGAAAAATGTCTATTTTTTCTATTGAACCGGATAAGGATTGAGGAGATGGAACTTTAGGAGACAGAACGAAATCCTTGAGATATCTCTAAAGTTAAATTAAATAATTTTTGAGTTTTTAATCTTTTTCAAGTGAGTTTAAGTTATATGTTTTGACAATGTACAATTTATATATTATTTGATTAAATTGGCCTACAACAAATACTAATTATTTATAACAATCAAATCTGCTAACTTTAAAAAAATTAGACCAGGTTGATAGTGTAAGCAAGCTTTTAAAGTTAATGCATATACGTTGAATTAGGTCCGTAAGCACATATTAAAGCGCCACGTTGAGTATAAGTAAGTGAAAAAGTGCACTACTTATCTCTTTCTGCCGCAATTATAATTAACTAAACATACTTAATGATACTGCTAATCTAGAAAACATATATTTATTTTTTCGTGGAGCAGAATTACATCATTTAACTTTGACTTAAGGTGGTATGTATATTACATATATTGCAGAAATTGTGTGTCTGTGAAGCAGCGACATGTCCAAATACAGATGGAGCTGAAATCCAAGATGATCTTCAGTATAAAACTAGGGAAAAGTTTATTTAGACTTGGTTAAAAAAATTATTTTCGTCGGACAGCTGCCAGTAAAACAGATGAGTAGATTAATAATTGATATGAAAGAATATAATACCGAATGAATGTGTCAAGGAGTTGATCTGTTTATAGCTGATCACCAGATACTTTTCAGACTTGGCACACTCCTAGCCCCCAGGTATATATGTGTTTACCCTTAAAAATAATAACAATTGAATTTATACGTGGTTAAAAGGATATATGGATTAATCCAATACAAAATGATCAATAACATTAGACAAAGGAATTAAAGGTAAAACAAATAATCAAACCAGTAGTAATGTTAAGTCCGAGCTCGGGTATGAACTTAGTGATTGTTCTGCCCTCGGTTCGGAGCCATATATCTGTGAAGAACTATGAACAAGAACAAGAACTTTGAACAACTTAGAAGCAGAAAAAACAAGTGTATATTGCATTGGAATGCATGTTACAGTCTCCCTAAACTTTCCCTTTATATAGTAGGGGAATTTTACCTCAAGTATAACTCTAAGAAAGGTAAAAGTCTTCGTTTTCGTTAATCACAAATCCGCTGTTGATACAGGCCGAGATCCACGGCGTTATATCCGGTTGGGCGCGGATATCACGGCCCTTCGTTAGTCGTGTGCAACCGTTTGGTTATACCTTCCGAGGTCTTGGAGCCCGAACTGGATTCGGGGGCTGTTGCCTCGATGGCCTCGGTGGTAAGTGCTTCGTTCAGGACTCAGTGCGAGAGGATCTTGGCTTCGATCCCGATTCCGGGTAGTTATGTCATTGCTTCGTTTGCCCTACCGAAAAATCAAAGTGGCTCGCTTACCCTGATTTTGCCCGTATACAATATGTCAATTAGATTGTTTCACGAATTATTTAAATATGCCTATACTCCACGTTTGTCACCAATGCTTCGCTTTCTAAAATGTTAAAAAAATAATACAATAGCTCAACTTCATGACTGAGCATGGTGTACAGGTTAACTACTTCTATATGATCGGGGTGTGAAACAAACATGTTGGGTCAAAATACATACGACGGCTCAAAGTGACAAGATAAATAAGACGTGCTTTAATTTAATTAGTGTTGGAGAATTAGTGGGTATCTCGAAGGGACTGTTGTTCACTAATAAGAATTTTTTTTCTTTTTTGACTCTACTACTTTTTCGTATATATACAAAACTAGGTAAATTGCCCGCACTTCGCGCGTTCATGGCGTAATTCAATCGCACTCCTTTTATTATATTGTCGTACAATGTCTCCTGGCAGGCAATGGACATTTACAAAATAATTTCAAAAAGAATACTTTAGAAGCATGATCGCACATGAGAAACAAAATAATAAATTTGAATGAGAAACAAAATAATAAATTTGAATCGTGTTACATAGTGAACATATTAGATAATTATTCACCAATAGTATAACTAATTTCTTTTGTAGTTGAAAGTTTGCTAAATAAAACAGTAAAGAAATTTACCTTTCCTTCAACAAAGCGTTTTGTTTCAATGTTATCCTCAACCTTCTTTTCCCTGCATAACCAACGAAAATAAATCATATTTTCAGTGTACATATACATCTGGATTGCCATTTAAAACAATCTATATCACAATACCCTTTGTTCTTTCCTTGTTGTGTATTGCAATTCCAGATTCTCATCTGGAATGAACAACTTAGATACGGTATAATTTTCAAGCCCCTCTTTAATATTGTAATTGTTAAATCGTAGCTTGAAAATAAATTCCTTGCCGCAAAGGCATTGGATTTGTGGAGGTACATTATCCTAGCATATAAAAAAAATCTAATTAGTAGAAGCATCTCGAAGAACTGTAATTTTAATTACAAAGAAGTAGAAATAGGAAAATAACATATATTTCGGCACTGCAATCGGACTCCAACAACTCGTTAATGTTCATCCTGTTCATAAACATCTCTTCCTGTATGGGAATGTTATTGACATGAGAGCTTTCGATAGTTTGTACACCAAGAAATGTGGGACCAAACTTTTGAATCAAAGTTGTTATGTAATCTATTTCTAGATTTACATATATTTTGCTTGCGTATGTGGCAAAAGTAACCTCACCTGTAAATGGTGAATGCAGTTTTAAAACAAACTTTAATGTATATTCAGAATATCAGTAATAAATTACATAGGAATGATTGGTTAACATTAAAAATTACCATGGAATTATTTAACTGTTGTAGGAGTAACTATGACAACATACGGGCCAAAGTCGTTGTATAGAAATGGTTCGAACTTCTCTCCAAATTCTTCCCACAAAGTTATTTTTGATTTTGCAAAAATTTAATTGAGTAACAATCCATATGATTCATCTAATATGTAATCTAAAGATATATGCATAAACAACTTGGATGACAAAATAAAAGTACAAACAATAAATCTGGTTTTACGAAGTTAACAAAATGTAATAAGAGATGAAGAAATGACTGGCTGCTTAACAAAAGAAAGGAAGAAACACCTAAATGTATTTAAAAAAATCTAAGAAGAGATGAAGAAATGACTGGCTTCTTAACAAAAGAAAGTGAAAAATACCTAAATGTATTTCAAATAGAACAAAAATGTATACTAACATCAGTTATACACCAATAGTATCTTTTGTAAAATCTTCCAATTCATTACAGTAAATACAAAATATATGAATACTAACATCAGTTATGTATTAATTATTGCATAGCCTTCTCGGAAAAGTAATAATCTGCATTTTTGGATGGCTTAAGCACAACTGAAGCAGGACGTTTAATATCGTCATCGATATTGAGTGCTTATTCCAGCATGAATTATCAATGGTATAGTTAGTTATCCTGAAGCACAAACATTTTGAAATAATTGTAATGAAGTAACTATTTGTAAGATTGTATAAAGGTCATGTCACAATTTGGAAAAGACTAAGAAATACCTCGCGTGTCTCAGCAACCATAGGGCGTATATTTTGGAATACCTCTTTGTAAACAATATTTTTAATGAATGTAGGATCTTCTGCGTCGTCGTCAACATTTAGTATGGTTAATCCCTCTCTTGTTGTTACTCGGGAGACAACCACATATAATTGACCATGGGTGAATACTTGCTTCGGAAGATACAAGCCGACATGGTTAAGAGACTGTCCTTGACTTTTATTGATTGTCATGGCAAAACATGGCGCCAAAGGGAGCTGCCTTTTGTTAAGCTTGAATGGCCACTTTGAATCGTTGGGAGACATTATGATTCTTGGAATTGTGACGCTCGAACCAATGTTCTTTCCGGACATGATGTTTGCGCTGACAGACCAATTTCCAAGATGCCTGACAATTAATCTTGTTCTGTTGCATAGGCCTTCTGTTTGGTTTAGATTTCTGAGAAGCATAACTGGTGTACCTACTTTTAAGTGTATGTCATGATTAGGGATGCCAGGGAATGTTAAGCTATTTAGAAATTCGGTTGGGTACAACAGTTCTTCATCGTTAGTGTTCATGCTCGCTTTGCATACATTGTCAGAGCTGAAATATGTTCTTCCTTCACCTGGTATCATTTTCAGAATTCTATCGTTCAACTCATGTACCATATCATTTTTTGGCGTTAGTATTGCTCTTTCTTTCGGATATGTTGGGTCACTGTAATTTTGTAGGAGACATGGATAAACTGCCTCAACAATCGATCCGATTGGGTCGTTAGATGATTTCATGCATACATCAGGAGGCAATTTGATTAGCTCCTTGTTAATGTCATCGTAAAATGATCCATTTCCAACCTGTAGCAACCATTTGTCAAAAGTAGCAATTTGGTCAGCCTCGCAATCACTTACTTTTCCATTGCATAGTCTCATATTTTGCTTCAGTTCATATATTGTGAAAAATGGCCACAAATAAGAGGAGTTTAGTGATGCATCAACAATATCANTCAGCCTCGCAATCACTTACTTTTCCATTGCATAGTCTCATATTTTGCTTCAGTTCATATATTGTGAAAAATGGCCACAAATAAGAGGAGTTTAGTGCTGCATCAACAATATCAGCTCGGGTACCCTTTGGAATAACAGGTAATATTTGGCGAAAATCGCCACCACATACAACTGTAAGGCCTCCAAAAGGTTTGTCAGAGCTATTTTCATACCTCATTCGCAGGATATCTCTCAACGTCTTATCTAATGCTTCAAAACATAACTTATTTGCCATGGGGGCTTCATCCCAAATAATTAAAGAAGTTCTATTGAGAAGTTCAGCTAAGTGGGTGGCTTGTTTTATTTTACAAGTGGATTCTACAGTAACGTCCAAAGCAATATGGAAGCACGAATGAGCGGTCCTACCATTTGGCATAACAAAGCTGCAATTCCAGAAGTAGCAACGGGAAGAACTATTTTTGATTGTGATCTGAGGTTGGAAATTATTGTATTCCATAGAAATGTCTTGCCAGTACCACCATGTCCATTTATAAAAAATAATCGTCCTTGTTCATTCTCAACTGATGTTATTATTGCATCATAAGCTAACTTTTGGCAATCATTTAAGAGAGCGAATGATTTGTCGTGCAGTATTTTTAGCTCCTCTTTGTCATAGTCTAGCTCCTCATTGAGCAGACGGTTTCCCACATTTCGCAGTAACGCAGAATCTGGTAGCGGCATTCCATCTATGTCTTTCAAACTTTTTCCCATCTTTAATAGGATGGTTTCAATCTCAAATAATGTATATGCTTCTACTTGTTTTTCAGTTAACTGTAAATTTTTCAATTGAAATCTCTTTCTCTGTAATGATGTTATATCTTCTGATAAAATTCCACGGTTGTTCTTCCAAAATTTGCTTGAATCAGATACCTGACAGTGAATAAGTATCGTTACAATTAGATGTCTCAACTCATTTCCTGTCGCCCAAAGTGCAGCCTCGGCTAAGCAGTCATTCCACTCTTTATCATCATCTAATAATCCTAACGCATAGCATGCATCTCTATAATTTTTATACTCCACTCCGTTTATTGTTCCGATGCTTTCATAGGAAGTGCTTCCTTTCACAAAGTTAAGCTGCATTCCCATATAAAAACGTTCTCCACTTGCAGCATGTGCGAAGTAAATTCTACCAACTGCCTTCCCACTTTGCCTTCTATTCCAAGTTTTGTCCTTTGCATTCCAGACCCAATGCGTAGGAAAGTCCGAATATGTTAGCTCTCGTGCATCGTCATATCTTTTGTTCGCCTCAAACCATTCTGTGAATTTTGTCTTTTCTATGTCCGGTCTGCTAATCACGCTTTCTGCTTGCTTTCCTTCTTCGAATATTATTGTATTTTGTCCCTCTAAATGAAAAGGCAGACGCTCAACTGCCGGCTTTCTATAATGTATATCAAATTTAAAAATCCTCCAGCAAGCTTCTATAGCTGATATGTATCTGCAGTCTAGATATTTATTTATCTCATCATTTTCTGCAGTTGTATTGGTAGATTCTATAGTTGCAGTTGCTCTATCAGACCCTTTATGGACATACTTGAACAGGTACTTCACAGACCTTGAGTAATTGCATAATTCGACATTTATATGTGCATCATATTTGACAAGCAAATCCCTATTGTAAGGGACAACATATCTATTGTCTAAGTTGGCGCCATTTTTCTTGAGTTGAGTACCTGTGTTCCTTCTCCTATAAATAGGAAATCTATCTGAATCAAAAGTTGTTCGATCATTGACTTTCTTCGGAAAATGCTTCGTGCACTTTCCTTGCTTCATACATGGGCAATGTGGATTTAATTCTCCGCAAGGTCCATGCATCATAAAGTTCTTAACAGCATTATAACCATCAGGATCAACGTCCAAATCAGGTATTTCTGCTGCTATTATTCTGTCAATATGATCCGTGGAGAGGCTTTTTAATGTGGGATGCAGGAAGAGCAATATATGCGCATGAGGTAAACCTCTTTTCTGAAACTCAATTGTATATAAACCTGTAAATGAATAGTATAAGGTTATGGTTAGGATGCAGGCACAAAAGACATGTAGTACACATTCTTTTACCAGCATATACAGAAGCTATACTTGTTGAAGTTTGGCAAAATGCCAAAGTCCCACATTGGTTGGGAGTTAAGTTTGGGGGGGATTTTTCCCCTATAAAAGAAGGCCTAATGTTTAGGATTGAAACACACCTCTCATTTGCCTTCTCATCTGTTTAAGGCATTTGTATCTTCTCTCTTTAGTATTATTTCACTTGTATTTTGGAGTGAAATAAAATATTGGTTGTGTCCGAGGAGTAGGCAAAATTAGCCGAACCTCGTAAATTCTGGTGTTCCCTTTATTGTTGCTTTATTGTCTTATTTATTATTTGGTGGCTGTCATAATTTTGGTATAGTAGTTGTGACTTATTCACACTATATACATTTGGCTTCCGCAACAATACTATGTAATTATTCTTTGTTTTCCGGCGGTAAAAATTCTCGTGGATTAAGATTGAGATTTAATCTGACATGACAAAAAGGATTTGGTGATATCAATAACAACTGTTGTCTATGTGCATTTGTGCTAAAAAAAGTTATCTATACAAACGTATGATATGTCAATGATTCTTATATGGACATTGGCAGGACTTTTAGAGGCTCATGACCTATGTTGCACGGACTCTCCAAAATACTGCCGCACCCGTGTCGGATTCTCCAAAAATACATTACTTTTGGAGAATCCGACTCTTACCCGGCAATATTTTCGGAGAGTCCGAGCAACATTGCTCATGACAATTACTCCATTGCCAATCCTGGTGAATGGGGTGCTTATGGGTAAAGATTGTATACGAACGTACAATTTAATATCTACTCTGTTTTGGTATTAAGTCCTATAGTTATGTATTATGGGCGTAATTATTTTTGAAGCTTGGATCTGTAGCTAGGGTTGCTATCAGACTGGGATAGTTGGTATAGTTGTGTGCTCTCCAACTCCTTAAGAGCTATGTAACTTCCTTCTAACTTAGTAGTTATTCTTTTGTTTTTTTTGCTTGGACTTGCCATCTATGTCTTTCTTTTGAAGTTATCAAATATAAGTCTAATAGAACTTGTATATATGCATATAAATACATTTCATAATAGAATTATGTAAGATCGTCTAATTCAATTTAGTTAAAATAGCATCAATTAGCATCGTTAACAGTTCAAAATATTTTTGTTACTTATTTTTTCAAGATCCTTTACTATTCCACACATATGTATGATGCATTATATTGTTACCAAAAGTCAGATAACCACATGCGCAACTAAGTTGTTGGATTATGACGAACTTCTTAAAACATAAAGCCTTAAGGATAAACTAAGAAATTATAGTTTTCATACCAATGAGAATTGCTAACATTCAAAAGACCTGTTACTAACACTTGTTTCATGTATATTTATGTTATTAGTAATGTGTGCATTATGTAGTGAATGAGTTAACTTACATGCAATTATTTTTCCAAAAGGCTGCTTTTTTTTTAGATCTTGCATTAGCTGGAACAATTTTATGTGGAAAACTCTGCATATGATATCAACCCGGTTGTCATCGCTCTCTTGTCCAATTAAACGGAGCATTTCATTTATTTCTGGCCACTTTGGGTTGCAAGTGAAAGTAATGAACAAATCTGGATATCCCGCCCACCTACAAATTGCCATTGCATCTTGATAATTTTGTACCCTATATCGAGGTCCCCCAGTGTGTGAAGAAGGCAAGATAATGATTTTCCCTATCATTGAACAATCAGAATCACCTCGGACAATAGCATCCATCAATCCAGAAAATAGATCAGCCCTGAGTTTTTTTTGATTGTTCCGGATATAACGAAATCTTTCTTCTTCAATTGCCATGTAACCATCCACGGCGTATTGCTGCAATAGTCTACCAGCTTGTAGAAGAGTGTGCGCTTCGTTAAGTCTTTGTTGTATCCTGAAGCAGTAGAACTGTCTCATTGTCAATTGTTCTCTCGCGAAAGTTTTGTTGATTACATCTGTCAAAAGAATTCCAAGCCTATATCCATCTTCACCATATGGGTGTATTAATGGGTAAGTCATAGACATGAAACTTGGGTGTAAATCTGTGATTCTTTGATGTCTGTTTTTCCGATGTTCTACTATAACATCTCGCTGGAAATTTTCATCAGTAAGATCACCAATTATTAGTCCTGCAACTTCAGAAGCTGTGGGTATATTGTATTGTCGGCCATCTCTTGTCCTATCGGATAGTAGTCGTAGACGAAAAACAGATTCAGGATGTTGTTTATATCTATCCCTTGCCATTCGAAATGTTTTTGCCAAAATATTATGCTCGTCCAGCATTTCAGATAAGCCCTGAACAATTTTAGGATCAACTTCTTCATGGAGCAGACTATTCATTCTGTTATGTATCTCATTTTCAGTATCATATATATAGTGCTGGGCAAACTGTGGTTTTTTCCCAGTTTCCGGCAACAGAGAGCCAATGTGATGATAATTTTGACCACTCATCCTGAAAACATATGGGCCCTTTGAACGATTGATGCTTCTGTCAACTCGGCCTCCCATAGATGTAAATGCGAACATAGAGTTATAAACTCTGATATTTTTTCGAAAACTGATACCAAGTTGTCCAGAATCTGTGCTCAAAAGATATTTGAGATAGGGCGGGGGTTGGCTCATTAACGGTAGTCTTACACGGCCTTCCATACAACAAAATGAGAATTTTGGCCGTGTTGTCTGTTTAGTTTTTTTTGTCCGTTCTTCATACCATAAAATGGCCCCACAATATTGGCAAGTGTGTGTTGGAGGGCCAAAATTCCAAGTTGTTGTATTATGACCTGCCAAATAGAAATTTCAATATCAATATGAAGTGGCTTTCAAGTCTAATGTTATTGACATGAGTTGCAGATATATTAGGAGTTTGCGAGCTGTCTTTAAAGTCATTTAAGATTTGTATATCAGTAGAAAGTGCAGAGAACCTCTAATGTTAAAGACCTTCACGGTGTTGAGTATTGGATTGAAACAGGTCCGAAATGAGTGAAATGGATAATGAGGATTTATATAGCCACACCAGCAAGTGTTTTCATGTTCCAAGGACAATTTTTTAAATTGCGAAGAACACTGGACATTCAAAGTGAAGTCCGTTGTTTGCATTTTCTGCTAAGTTGAGCAACATGCTACATTTGTTCCAATTTGGTCCTTTTGAAGTAGGATTTGGTTTATTCAAGCAGAAATTCTATAGAATTGTTTTCCCCTTTGTGTTTCCATATCAGGAGACTTGGTGTTTTCTATAGTATTTTAGTATGCTATCTTTGAACATGTTATTTACAGATAATAATGTGCCTTTTACCCTTTAACTCCTGCTTTTGTTATGTTTGAAAAATTCGTAACCAACCAAAAATATGTACCTATATTGTACCTAATAATATGTACCTGTATGTTGAAGATTGTTTTGTATAGTTCTACTGCTTTGAGAACACATATAAAGTGATCCTTCATTTGCTTCGTCTTTGGGTGTATGATGTGGCATGATACATAGGTCTCCTGCAATGTATTTACAAATATTCTTTAGTATATAAAGTAAGATGCGAACTGCAAGAGATGTCGCTTTGCAAAAGCAAATATGCGTATAATATTTACATGTACAACAATACCACAATTTTAGATTCATGGTGAAAGGATCCGGATGGGATTACACTATGAACAAACCAAAGAAGAGACAGAGAATTAGTTCACAGGTTCTACTGGATTGAAGCATCATAAGGTCCTGCTAATCGTATGAACGCCACTATTCTAGTTTTCTATATTCACACATCAATTTAAGAGTATAAATAACCACTTTTGCATTATCGTTAAGAGAGATAGCTTGATGAGTAACAAAATACCATTTTGTTGAGTGAACACATGTCTCCTTATGCAGTGTCGTAACTTCATCAATTTTGTGAATCGTTTCACAAGTTGTAGTAGCAGGAGTATTTTCTTTTGTGGCTGATTGGCGTATTTCTTTTGAATTAATACGACCTTTCGCTTCAATCTGGCATAATGATATCTGAATTTTTTGATATCGACCAATACATCATTGTTCTGGTTACATTGCACTGTTGTTGCATATCTCTTCAGTTTAATTTTAAGCATCCTCTCTTGCCTAGCTAAAACTGGTAGAAGCTGCAGCAGCAGTGTAATTTCCGGCTGAACATTCGTTGACACATTAAATTGTTTAACAATAGCAGATAGCAGTTCCATCAAACCTGTTATAAAGTATTGAAAAAATTGAATATATTAAAATTTGAAATGTTTGGTGAAGTCAGATATTAAAAACAAATAGGTTGCAAAGATGGTTATGTGAACTGCAAATCAAACTATCCATTGCAAAAAAACACAATGGAATATTGACAATACGGACTGTGTAGCATGTAATCTTGAACAATTTGTAACTGCTATTATTAACAGGTAAAATATGATATTTCCGGATGTGCGGCGTTGATATATTCAATGCAAACAGATTCTCAAGACTATGTCAAGGCAAAATGATAAGTAAGGATTATACCCAGTTTATACTTGAGCAAATCCAAGAAATTCTTTCTTAGTAAATAATCAAAGTAACAAAATGTAAGAAGATATGAAGAAATGCCTGCCTGCTTAACAATAGAAAGGAAGAACACCTAAATGTATTTCGAATAGAACAAAAATGAAAATTTCAGAAGCCAACGTAAAGTGAAACACACTAAGCGTATGATGTTAACAAAAGTGAAGTGTTAGTAATGCTGCGGTTTGATTCTTCTTTATGTTTTCTGAAATACTAATTCAACTTTTCCTTCTTTGCTGTGGTCCCTCTTCAATTTTTAGCAGGAAAAAATGAATATAATAGGTGGAAAGATAAAAGTAAGTCTGAAGTATATAAAATAGGATATAGCCGTTATTGATTTGGTGCAAGAAAGTAACTGCCAGGGAGAAGTTGTGTGATGTTTCTCTGAATCGCCATCTACTCTTGTATACAATATTTGGGTGCTTCATAAATATTCAATTAATATTAAATTTAATACTGTAATTAATTGGAACATAAAGGTCAAGTATTATGTTGTGAATACAAGTAAGAAACAACCTTCGTGGGTTAAAGAAAAGGAGATGCTGTTAAAACTTCTGTTTGATAAGAGTGTTAAAATTTATTCCATATGTGAATGAATGGCAGAGAACAATGGCAAATGGAAATGTAACTTAAGTTTCATATTGATCAAAAGATGTGTGCATCCTGCTAAAGAAAGAGATTTCAACGTGTGTTATTCTCTTATTTCCATTTCTTTCTCTTTTGTCCTTTCTCAATTGGTGAAACAATGGAAAGACGGTAATCATAGGAACGACAAAAGATATTTAGAAAATTTAAATCTTGAAAGTATGGATTGAATATAACAACAGAAACTTGCCTGAAAAGAAATACGCCCTTGTTTCTTATGTCACTATTTATCTTGCTGCAATTAATAAAACGCTAAAAAAATAAAATTTGCAATGAGTTGATTGTAAAAGTATGAAGTCGGCCTTTTGATAAACATTTCAATCAAATGAGCTAAAGTAATAAGAGTATACGGAAATGCTAGCATTGGTCAAATATGACCAAATTTATTCAGAAAGCAATTTGCGCTTGGAATACAAAAATTCATGGAAACATAAAATAACAGCAGAAGTAGTGACATGATAGATGCAGTAAAATAAATTAGTGGTGTTGATGAAACTGCTACCTATATGAGTAAATGAAACTCAAAATGTTTTGACGTTGTTTTGTATTTATGTAACTTTCACTTAAAATGTTCCAACCAAAGCGGGAACATTTTTCTTCAAAGTATGGCAAATTGTGATACTGTCTATTCTTATTTTAGTACGCTTTTTTATTGCAAGTATTTTTTTCTCAGTGGTTATTTCATGATAGTAACAATAGAGAAATTTCTACATCACTACAACTTTCTACTGCAGAGATCATCATGAAAAGCACAATAGGGAACAATAATTTAGCCTGCTCTTAAACAACTTTAAAAGTTCTAAAACCAACAAATAAACACTCTACTTCTTGCTTTTTTTGGTTGCTTGCTCGATAACTTCATCGTCATGTATGATTAGGTTTCTCTTTCTAATCTTTCTTGATGAGGTTCTTCTCCCCTTACAGTTAACATCGTCATTGACATGTGGATCTTCTGGAGACAATCTATATCACAATACCTTTTGTTCTTTCCTTGTTGTGTATTGCAATTCAAGATTCTCATCTGGAATGAACAACTTGGATACAGTATAATTTTCAAGCCCCTCTTTAAGATTGTAATTGTTTAATCGTAGCTTGAAAATAAATTCCTTGCCGCAAAGGCTCTGGATTAGTGGAGGTACATTATTGCTTTCCAATGATAGCCTATTGAACAACTTGTGGGCAAATGTATCGAGGAGCTTCTCCGCAACAGCATTAAATAATACCACAGTAGTATTTCCAGTTTTGTCTCTTACTTTGACATGTATTTTGTACCTATGATTATACAGTCAGTTTAAATGAACGACAATATAATCAAATTTACATTATTAGTTGCTTCCTTACTTCACCAAAGGAAACTTGCATTCTTTTGCACAAAAGTGACATGTGTAGACACCATTTGAAGGTACAATCTTCTTTGAACACAAGTTGCATGAAATGTAGTACCAATCAAAATAATTATCTACTTCTGCAATGTTTCCCCTCACTGTAACAATGTATTCCTATCGTATAAAAAACTCTAATTAGTAGAAGCATCTTGAAGAATTGTACTTTTAATTACAAAGAAGTAGAAATAGGGAAATAACATGTATTTCCGCACTCCAGTCGGACTCCAACAACTCAGTAATGTTCATCCTGTTCATAAACATCTCTTCCTCAATGGGAATGTTATTGACATGAGAGCTTCCAATAGTTTGTACACCAAGAAATGTGGGGCCAAACTTTTGAATCAAAGTTGTTATGTAATCTATTTCTAGATTTACATATATTTTACTTGCATATGTCGTGGCGAAAGTAACCCCACCTGTAAATAGTGAATCCAGTTTTAAAACAAACATTAATGTATATTCAGAATATCAGTAATAAATTACATAGCAATGAACATTTAACATAAAAAATTACCACGGAATTGTTTAACTGTTGTAGAAGTAACTATGACAACGTACGGGCCAGAGTCGTTGTATAGAAATAGTTCGAACTTCTCTCCAAGTTCTTCCCACAAAGTTAATTTTGTTTTTGCAGAACTATAGGTAAAAAGATGAAACAAAATTTAATTGAGTAACAATCCATATGATTCATCTAATATGTAATTTAAAGATAAGTGGCTTACTAATCAGTTATAACTTGGATGACCCTTTTTTTCTAATTGCTTCCAACACTCTCCATGTCACCGATGGCAGTTAAACAACCAACCACATCTACAATATCAAATTGAAAGAAGTAATCATTTCATAACTACATTGCTATTGCGATAAATATAGCAGGAAACATTGATCGTAATCAGTATACCTGATAGAACGGTGTTATTGTTCAGCCTTGAGTCGATCATGTCGGGTTTTATAAACTGGAATCCGTTTATTGGAATATTAACAATACCTTCTTGTAGTTCCTGGAGTGCAGTTGTCAGGAAGAAAGAAATTTTGAAATTACTTGTCACTGGTCTATATACACCAGAAGCCTCACTAACTTTGAAGTTCTTAATAAAATAGACTGATCCTTCACTGAGCAAATTCTTGTACTTATTTACTAAATTCTTGTTGATTGTAGCATGTATCAAAGTTTCCTGGTAGAAGAAAAACAGTTAGTGTTTTCAAAGTTAATAATTACAAATGCATAATAATTAAAAAAGGATAAGACACATGTATTACCTCTTCATCTATAAGGATCATGTCTGTACTCATTAGTTCTCTGTTTCTCTTGAAATTAATAGAGTCCCATTTCCGGCAAACTCTAACCCTCACGGTCCAATCATCCCTAGTACTATTCAAGTGTGTAAGAAGAGAATACGCCATATCGTATATAAGAGTTTTAGGAATAGGAAAATAGCGTATGAGATTAAGAAGGATAGCAGAAATTGTTTGTTTAAGAAGGATAGCAGAAGTTGTTTAAGGACAATGGTGTGCGTGGATTTTATATAAAGGATTCGGTTAAAAATTTTAAACGATGCCAACAGTTAATTGGAAAGTTACAACCCTTTAGAACAGCCACTATAACGGAGGGAGTTTTTGCACATGAGGATGAAGAGGGCGACGTTATGTCGTTTAACACTTCAACTTTCCGTATATGAATTTATATTGAATATATACATTATTTATTACACAATTATTTAGGACTTTTCAGAATAACCAATATTAGAAGGCATTCGTGAGATATGCCAAAGAAAGTTGCAATGAAAGCTAACCGATTTTACATACCATCAAAGAAGAGAAGAAGGCAACTTCTGAAATAGGTTGAAGCAAATCTTCTTTACAATTTGACTCTTCTATGGTAAAATCTTGTTAAATTGGCGGAGAGGGAAACAAATTTTTTGGCGGAAAGGGTAAATCATAGGTTTTTGAATGTCACTAATGAAGAGGCCGGAGGGTATTTGAATAGGGGAAAGGGAATTGTAAATGCAAAGAAGGTTGGGTAAATTGGAGCAGGTGCAATGCAATTGGGAATTTAAAGAAGCGGCGACTAAACAATATGTGAAGCATTTTTTTTTTTTTTATGTAAGTGTGAAACTACCGCAAAAAACCTGGAGGCGAGAAAATTGGATTGCTGGTTATTGGG